GTGAGGTCAGCGTGGCCCTAAGGGCCCCCCAGATGCCAAACGCAGTGTCTGGGCCCATACCCCTCTCCGGGGGAAGGCTCCTCAGAGCCCTCCCCAGCCTGCACACTGCCTGGTTGGTCCTAGACTGAGCCTGGCCACTGAGGCAGGTGCTAGGACACAGCCCACCGCTGCCTCTCAACTGTTGGTCCTGCGCCCCAGGGTCTGTGTTGACATGCCCCTGTGTCCCAGGAGATGAGGATGTGTCAACCCACAGTCTCTAGGGGGCAAGGAAGCGATGGGTGTGGAGTAGCAGAGTGAGGCCCTGCCTGGCTGAAGCACATGGAGCAGGGACACCCCAAACCCTGATCCCCTGAGTCGGGCACAGGAGACCCTGGCCAGCAGGTGGCAGCACAGCCTGTCCTCAGAGTTGAGCGGAGGGGTGGGGAAGACAGGAGTCCCATTCCCTGGCTAGTTTACCCATCTCACCTCTACCCCCTAGGCCCTGACCCAGCTCCTAAGGGGTCCCAACCATGGTAGGACCCCTGAACCAGAGGTTAGACAGCGACGGTGGCAGCTGATACCAGAGTGCGGTGGGGGGGGTGGGAAACAGACCAGGGAGAACAGAGCCCTAAACGGCCTCAACCCTTCTGCCCCAGCATCCCTACCAAGGAACCCACCATGGGAGGCCAAGGGGCTGGGGCTTCCAGAGGGCCCTGGAGAGGAGGCTGCAAGTGAAGTGGGCAGTGAGGGGGGACTAAGGGGCCCTGCGGCTGCCTGGAAAGGGTTAGAGGGCTGCGCCTGGGGCCCAGTGCAGGGGAGGGGGTTCAGCCTGAGGATGGAGGCTGGGAGGGAGAGAAGATTATTTAGGAGACAGGAGTAGGTTTGGGGAAGAGGAGTAGAGGAAGGCTGGGAAATGCCTGGATCTGACTGCTGCCTGGAAGACTGGAAGAGGAACAGGGTGGGGGGCGGAAAGCCGTCCCTACCTCCCCGCCCAACAAGATGGGGCTGAGGAAAGTGCCAGGCTCCACCCACCCCAGGCCTGGATGCCCTTAGATGCTCAGGTTGAGACATGGAGGCCTGGAGCTTCTCCCTCCCTTTCCCCCATGTCCCTGCCCCCACAAGCCACCCCAGAGCTGCAAGGAAGCTAAGTAGACAGGATGGCAAAGGAGGGCTATGGGACAGGGCAGGCACAGCAGAGTAACTACCTCCTGGCTACTGTCCCATTTTATACAAATTGAGGCAGAAAGGGCAAGACTCGGACCCCCCCTCCCAACCCCTGGCCAGCTGCTCTTCGGAAAAAGAGAGGCACCAGACATGGGGCAGGCCAAAACCCTAGTTTATTTCAGCATCAGCAACATCTTAGCCATCAAAAAAATAAACTCTACCAAAGGCGACAGAAGTCTACAGCGAGGCTAGGGGCTCAGCCGCCAGGCGGCGAGCACCAGGGGTGCGTGGTGGGCACTGCCCAGGCAATAAGTTAGGAAGCAGTAGGGCTGGTGGCAGGCGCGGGCCGGGGCTTCACTTCTGGGCAGGCATGAGGTCGTCGATGGCCTGGCCCTGCTCCAGCCGCTGCTCCATCTCAATGAGCAGCTTCACACCATCCACCACCATCTGCACCAGCTCCACCTCAGAGAAGCCCAGGCGGTCAGCATTGGAGACGTCAAATACCCCACCCACAGCAGCCGTGTCCACACCGCCTAGGGAGACAGCCAGGTCAGCGGGGCAGAGGAAATAGGGGCTGCCGGAGGTGGGGAGGACTGCAGCACCTGCCACGCTCACCCGTGCCTCTCTTCTGCAGCCGCAGCCGCTTGAGCACCTCCGAGAACTTCTCGTGCTTGCCCAGGTGGGGCAGCTTGATGTGCACACCTGCCCGCAGCCCTGTGCCCAGGTTGGACGGGCAGGTGAGGATGTAGCCTAGGTGAGGGTTCCACATGAACTCGTAGTTCTTAGACTTGAAGAGAGTTTCAATCTGGAGGAGAAGGGGGTGTGAGAGGGGACGGCCAGCGGAGACTCCCAAAGGGACCAGTTGGGAAGGGTGGACTGGGACCCAGAGATGCAGGAGCTCCCGGCAAGTCCCCAAGTTGACAGAGACCCAGGGGGGCTGGTGGGACACCCACATCCCTTCCTGAACTCTGGGGTCTGGCCCTGCCCCCTCCGTGGCACCATGTCCCCACCCGGGCTGGCCCAGATTGGGGGTGGCCAGGCCTGACCTGGGTGAGGCCGTTGCAGAAGCGAGTGAACACCTCCTTCATGTTGCCCCCTTTCTGCATGGAGATGACCCGCAGGTGGTCCTCCTCGTTGATCCACACCAGGAAGGTCTTATTGTCATTGTGCCTGGGGAAGGGGCATAGTCAAGCCCAGGCTCCTCCCTGGACTGTGGTCTCAGGATCCCTCCAGAAAAAAACTAGGGACTCCCCTGACCAAAGGAACTTTACAAGTCCCTGAGGTGCTAGTTCCAGCAGAACCCAGGACTGCTGGCTGCTGCCAAGACTCCAGCCCCATCTACACGCTGGGGAAAGGCAGGGAGACCAGGACACCTCACAGATGGTACAAAAAGAGCCCCGAGCTGCACCCCAATCTGCCAGTCGTGTGCACTGTGGCCTGAGGTGGGTGCAGGTACAGGTCCCAACCCCACCAGTATGAAGCGGGGAAGCCTGCCCTAGCAGAGGGTGGCGGTGGGAGCCCTGCCCCGACTCCACTCGGGAAAATTCTGCGTCACCCAGCACCTGGCAGAGGCCCGGAGGGGGAAGGGAGGTAAGAAAGACAAGGAAACGGGAAGCTCCAGCTCCCAAGAGGGAGGTGGAGGAAAGCCGCCAACACCACCCGTCTGCCACCTCTGAGATCTCAGGGGGCTAAGGCTTCACCAGCCTGAGTCCCTTTGCCCTCCTGCGTTGCCAAGGTCACCTGCGCGAGGACAGGGCGGCCCCAAACCGGACGAGGAGCACGGCCCCTCCCCCTTCCTCCGGGCCTCGGTGGGCCCCACCCCGCGGGGGGGGCGGGGGACGGAGGAAGGGCTCCCGCGGGAGGGGGCGGGAGGGGAGGCACGCACCAGATACCGCGGGCGTCGGGCCAGTCCCGGGCCATGCCCGAGGCCAGCAGCAGGGGTGACACAGGCTTGTCAAAGAGGAAGTGGTCGTCGATGAGCTGCTGCTGCTCCGCCTCGGTCATACTCTTAAGCGAGTAATACCTGCCTGCCAGGTCGCCGTCCAGGCTGGAGAGGGCTACGGAGGGGCGCAGCTCAGGCCACGCTTCCCTACGGAGGGGCGCAGCTCAGGCCACGCTTCCCAGCACGATCCCCTCCACCTCCCGATGCCAGTCCCTGGGGCAGGGGATTAGAGGCCCCCCCGACCGCCCCAGTTTGGATCCGGGCGGCCCTCCCAGGCGGGGACCCCGGGCCAGGACCCGCCCTCCCTAGGCCCCCGGCGGCTGTGGGCGAGGGGCTGGGCCTCCGTCCCTCGGT